GATAAAGAAATTGGGAACTAGTGGAGGAGCAAGTTTATCTAAAAAGTTGTCTGCTACATGCTTTGGAAGAAAAGCTGCACCAGGTTTCTTAAAAGCTGATCGAAACCGGCGCGGCGTATATTTTGCCAAACTACAGAGGGTGAGACATCAGGTGATAAAGATGCTCAAAAAGTCTCCCAGCCTTCCTATTTCTTTTTTTTAAGAAGCTTCTTTGTTTCGGTCATTACACAAGATAATAAATCAAAGTTTTCGTTCGTAGAATTTTCTCTTTATATTTTTTCTTTAAGCTTTCTTTTTTTAACTGCTAATGAACACTAGTTATCCCACCAAGGGGGAAAAGGAATTGTTACGATTATTATTTTTGACTGGGAACACTTTTTCTGCAGCTTGCAACAAAGTCAATGCTTCTGCACAAACTTCATGTTCTAAAGAAATTTGCAATGCGAACTTATTAATATTTGTTTTGATAAGTAAGACATATTGCTGGAGTATTTTGTACTAATAAAACGCATTTTTTTCGAATCAATAGTTTTAATAAAATTAAGTCTTATAATGAATTATTAATTAAGTTAATAATTGCAGTAAAATACAGAACAAAATTTAAACAAGAATAAGATAAAATACAATTATTTTGTTAATTAAATTTTAATTCTTAGTAACTAAAAGTAATTTAAGACATTTTAAAAATTTATTTTATTTAACCCGTAAATGGACGATTTTTGTTTCACGTTTTAAAAATATATATTTGTGTAATAGACATGTATTACTGTCTAGGAAAAATGAGTAAAAAAATCTAGACATGAATTTACTATACTTTTTTTTTGCAATAATGTGAGTGTTGTTTATAAACTACATTGCGCATTCATTGAGATTTTGCAAGTATGGGTAAAATAAGAGTGGATATTGTTTTTGAAATGTATTTATTTATTGTTCATTATGATATTTATAAAAACAATTGCTATTTTTCGCATCACATAAAGATACACGACATTTTTGGCACATTTTGAATGTAAAGCCTGAACATTTTGGGAATTTGCACCTCTGCTGCTTATCCAGCCAAACTGCCCAATGACATGTCTGATCCAATTTGACGTCTTTCAAAGGAATTGCTTGAGCTGGTCCTCGGAACTTCTTCATTACAAGTTCTCTTTGTATTGTGCTCCCACTAGGTCGACCACGTTTAGCGCCATTTGCAGGTAGACCCAATTTGCAGAGGGTTTCAGCAAGTTCTAGTCTGAATGTACCCAAATTGAGAAGTTGATCATTTCCTTTTATATTATTTACCTTCTTGAACATAACCCATGAATTTATAACTGCGAGGTCCAGGAAATGATAAAATAAGCGCATGGTCCACTTGCGGCTCTTCATTGTTATGTGATAACGACCTATAAATGAATCTAATAAGTCCACGCCTCCCATGTGGGCATTGTACTCCTTGATGACTTTGGGGCATGGAATAGCAACTCTCTCTTTCTTCGATTTATCAAAGCGTGTGACTGTGGTTGCTGGTTCTGCTCCTACGTAAGTGGAAAGAAGGTTAACGGGCTTGTTATCTTTCCACACAACAGCACTTACGTCAATATCATCCACAGTCGCCACGTTTTCCTCATAGAATCCTCTGGGTACGTTATTATTCATTATAGTGTTTTTTTCAGGCAATTTGCAGTTTCTCAATCGGTTTACTCTTACTGTTCCCAGTAAAAAAATTCCTTCCTTAGCTAAATAGGTGACGAGAGGCACAGAAGTATAGAAGTTATCGAAGAACATAATGTGATTTACATTGCGTGATACCATTCTAGCTAACCTGACGACTGTATTGCCAGACTCTCCCAAATCTGGCTCACCAGGTAAGATGTTATTTTTGGAGCCCCCTCCAATGTAAACCTCAAATCTATGAGCATATCCTTGTAGACTGCAGATGAGATATAATTTGAACCCCCACTTGTGGGGTTTATTGGGCATGTATTGTTTTATGTAATGGCTCATTTTGGTTGCACACATCTGCTCGTCTAAGGGAACCTTCCCAAACTGGCAGTTGAGCGTTTCCTTAAGAGGTCTTATTTTGAATAGCCTGTCATAGTCTGGATGATCTTTGTGCAAGCATAGCGTATCGTCGGCAAAATGGAGAGTGGATCTTATTTTTTCAAATTTTTTTAACGGCATAGTATTTTTTATGTGATCATAACCAAATTGTTCACTCCAGTAAGCCCTGGTGTTTGGAAATTTTATAACTGAGGTGTAAATCAGAATGCCTAGGAATTTATTTAGGATATTTTCATTTATAATTTCAGGATTGGAGATTCGTTTCTGGGCTGCATATAAGTTACTTTGTTCTACAATTTGCTTCTTTAGATCTGATGTAAATTAAAATGAAAAAAAATCATACGGCGTGTTACAAGACATCAATACTTCCGGTATCTGAGTTTCTCCCCTAAAAATAAGGCTGTCTTCAGCAGTAACAAGATTCCGTTTTCGCCAAACCAGAGGTCGTTTAGAAATCCCTTGTGATCTACTCTGGGGTTCTGCTTCTTCGGCTTCCAAAATAGGAGAGTCTGGCATATTTGTCGATTACGACAGGAGGATCAGCATCCACTTCATCAGACTGGGCATTCTCACCTTCATCACTATTTTCAAGGTCTCGAAGAACATCTCGAGCTGTTTGATAATAGTGACCTTCATCCTCTACTTCGGAGTCTGACCCGTCTAAGCCTTCTTCTGAATCTTCAAGAGTTTCTAAATACTTTGTAATTTCGCTTTCTAGTAATCGCGGCATGCTGAAAAGCAAAATAAAAATCCTTCACCAAACATGAATTTATTTAGCAGGCAATGCGCATTGTAGTTTTCCTACAACACTAGATTTCGGCTAATTCGACAGTAGCATCAAGTGATTTTCAATGTTTTACAACATGAACATGTAATTGAAGATATAATCAAGCAAATAAAAATATGTTATATACTTACATTATATTTTATCAAAGTCCGAACACAGCTACAAAACTTAGGTTTGCGCCACTAGAAAAGTTTTCTTCAAAGTGATATTTGTCATTAACTTATTTTCAATGCATAAAAATATTGGAAAAAAAAGTACAAAATTCGTTCAGAAATAAGAACTAGTTGTCAAAATTAACAAAAAATTAAAAGAAGGTCAATTTTATCTGTCATGTTTAGTATGTTGTTTAAAAACAACATTATCCATTTAAGGGGCAAGGGCATAAAACCAAAATTAAAGCTCATAAATTAACATGGTATATATTAAGCACTAAATATACAATTAGATGATTAGATCTACATTTGTTATAATTTATTTAAAATGTAATAGGAAATGAGATAAATCCTTATCTCATTCTCACATTTTCCTATTCAGTCAAAAATAAAGAAAATTGTATTTAATGTTATAGGGTATAAAATTAAATACAATTTTCTTTATTTTTGACTGATAAAAAAATAACAAAAACTTCGTAAAATACTCAAAAGGATTTTTATAATAATGGGTAGAATGTAGATCTATGTTCTCAATATTTTCTGACGACTCGTCATTCAATTGCAAAAGTTCCACTGCTTCTGGAAAAAGGTCCAATCGCTTTGTTCTTTCGTATTTGGGTCGAATATGCGATAAGTATGGGTCCGAACTTATCAAAAAGTTATGAAGAAAGTCTTCGTTGGTTTGCTTTCTGCAAAATTTTCTTGTTACATTCACGAACTCTTCGATTCTTGCTTCTTGCGAATTTTTGTTTCTTGCTTCACCAGCTTCTTCAGAGAGAATTCCAATTGGAATAATTCCAAAGTGATGACCTATATCTGCACTATGTTTAAGAAGTTTGTGTACACTTGCTGGCATATGAAACCATGGATAAAGATGAACGAAAAGTTCTGCTGTTTCACGGCAATACATCCTAAATTTTTCAATGTTGGTGGCACTTCCAGAAGACATTGTTTGTAGTATAACTGCAAAACGTTTTAAAAGATGGTTGTCACTGTTGGTTATGTCCGCAGATTTTTCACAATCTCAAAAAAAATTCTGGCCGTGTTTCCATCGTTTGTAGTCCCAAATCCTTGTTTCACGATATCGACAAGTATACCCTTTTTTTGCTTGAATTCTTTTTGTATCATTTGCTTCACACTTCAGTAGCTCATGCACATCACATCTTAAAGTCCAAGTTGTATGATATGTGTAGAATACATTCCATGCACCGGATCCACATGTAAAGAGAAGAAATCGCTTATTTGTAGACATCTCCACGAACTGATGTTGAAAATATCTCTGGCAACTTACTCATCTCAGTTGGCTTCGCAAGACAAATTGTACAGTAGGGTGGACTGATAATGTATGTTTTTTTTAATGGAATCGCAATGCAAAGTTGCCTTTTAATGAGTAAATTCAGCATACAAGATTGTTTACTTGTCTTGATTTTATGAGGTGCCCCAACTCAATTGAAAATTAGAAAAATACTATTTTTTTAAAAAAACATGGTATAATTTTGAATGATAGTATTTTTCTAGATTTCCTGTCTCTTATAAAACAAACTACATTGTGATACGTTAAATAAAAGCCTGGTTTGCAGTGTTAATGTTTTTAATCAAGAAAAATTGCAAAAATATATATTATCAAGGAATGAAAAAAATCAGTAATATGTAGATTATTTGGTATTAAATTGTTTTTTTGTTTCAAAATAAGGCATTTGCTGCCATGATAATAGTCTTGCCCTTATGAAACCGTCTCGTTTTTTTTCTCCACAAACTGCTCTTGAAGCTGCGGTCACCAATTTGATACAGCGCTCTACGGTTTGGGTATGGAACGGAGAATCTTTAATATTCTGACATGTAGTCAAACCGCTTTTGACAATCTGTTTCAAGGCTTCATCAGATAAATTGGAAGTCAGAGGTGGCTCAGTTATCTTACAGTCATGCCAAGTAATTAAGTCGGTATTATCTTTAGCATCGAAAGGACATCGACAAAATCGGCCCTAGCATGCCCAAAAGAATGTCCTGCACTATTATTTTTCTATTATTTTTTTAACTTATTCAGTGTCAAACTCGAAATAGCTGTCTTCATATCTAGTATTTGGGGTATCTTGAAAAGTTTCAGGTGCTTCATGAATTTCCTTGACAACAGCTCCCTTAAAAACAGATTTGATTCTGGAATGATATTCTATATTTATACAAGCCATCCATTTGTCCTGTTTTTGCAATTTTTTTCGCAGGGATACTAAACATGGCAGCAAAATACCGTAATATATATTTTGCTCGTATTTTATTATATCCAGGGCTTCTGCTATTGGTTTTGAACAACGCATATATTCATTTATGTATTGAAAATCATTGGTACGTAAAACGTTTGTTACTCCCAATGCCACGTACCTACAACTGGACATTCTTATCTTGTTTGGATGAAATTTGTTTTCGGCCATCATAAAGGCTATTTCCATCTAGTGATTCCTGGTCTGGAAAGCGTATGCCCGCCCAACAATACCTTGTAATATTTCAGCCGAATTAGGGTGGCCGGCCGAGTTCTACAAATTTTTGCATTTTTGATAACTTTGTTATAAATATCGGCAAGAGTTGTTTCAAAAAAACAAAGAAACAGAAGTGTAAACTCAGGTACAAAGAAAAACGATAGTTAGAAATGGTGGATTCGTGACGATCCATGTATATGACGTTGTAGGTAATAAGAAAACGCCATTATTTACATTGCAAACTTGTTATCTTATTATTTGTTTATCATCGTAAGCTATAACAACAAAAATAATGAACATGGAATGTAAAAAGTAAGAAAAGAATGTAATTACGTGATCGCGCATCTTCGCCAAAATACGCAGTCATCTTTGGTCACGGTCCGCAGGCTACTGGTAGGTTGTAGAAAGTCGGTATTTTGTTTAAATTAGCGGCAAAAGTCCGCATGACCGTGTGAAGCTGTTTGCGCTGACAAAAATAAATCTGCTGCGCTCCAAGAAAAATATTCCTCGATCGTCACGCTCGTATAGAATCGGTTGCAAAGGGTTAAAGAAGTCAGGCCCCAGAGTGCCCTATTAATTCTTCTCTAATTCCCTCAAAATTATATGAATCTCCCCTCCAATCAAAGTGAAGGTATTTTTCAGACTCAGGCCCCGAAGAGCAACATTAGCTTCGGTATCAATATCTTGCATCGCTTCAACAAGGCCGGGATCCTCAGTCGTCGAATTCCACGGGAAATTCGAACGTCCCGCTGCCGCAACCAAAAATTGACGAGCTTGGTGACGACGTCAACATAACTGCCAAGATCCTCCAAATCTTTGTCAATATCAGCGTCGACTCCTGCAGTTTTTTTTATTAATGATCTCATTTAAACAGTATGAATTTTATTAGTGGTCGAGACCTCTACGAAATTTAAATACGATTCAAACTTTCATTATGAGACCAATTTCTACCATAAAAAAATAGGAAAAAGATGATGTTTTTGTGATTTACGTTGAGATTTGTTTGAATTAGGTAAATTTATTCATTGACATTAGAATTTGACCAGCCCTGTCGTCATAATGGCAGCAACCCGGTAAAATTTAAAGATTGTCACACACCTACTTCGTATGATATGGCACTCCTTCCGGTGCCTATGGTTAAAGGTGCAGACGCTGAAATTTTAATTCTTCCCATTGTATCACAATTGTTGTGATCGCTTGCTGTATAATATAACGTTGTACACGTTGGCTGAAAGCCAAAATGTATAATATAACGTTGTACACGTTGGCTAAAGCCAACGTATACGTATCCGTATCTTCACAATAGTCATGATCGCGCAAATTGCCCAGTTCAGTTTCTGCTCTCGATCAAACATGTCGTCGCAGTTGGTTGAAATGTAAAATAATTTAGCAATTTCATGTTTTATTGTCATTCACAACATTCTAACCTCAAAACCAAAACAGAGACGATGGTGGCAAACGGAACTATTTAGAAACAGAAACAGACTTGGAGGAAGAGCTTTGATGAGAGACCTAAGATTTCAACACATAAGTGGTAAATACAAAAACTTCACCCGTATGGCACCTAGTGACTTCGAATATTTGATAAATTTGTTTTTTTTTTATAACAATAATCTTTATTTGCAGTTACATAGTTTGTACAGATACAGATGATTGGCCACAAAATTAAAAAAAACGGATACTACATACAGGAAAGCAATTTCTGTTGAAGAAAGATTAAGTATCACTTTGAGATTTTTAGCCAGCGGAGATTCCTATAGGGCTTGTATACAATATTTACTCAGAGTTTCGAAACAATCGATAAGTGTTATAGTACCAGAGACCTGTCAAGGTATCGTGGAGGCATTAAATGACAACATCAAGGTAGGATATTTTTTATTATAGAAATAATTATTGATCCATGTCATCAATTATTTATAAGTTTATAAAAAAATATTGTTTATTATTAATAATTGATGTCATGGATCATTTTTTCGAAAGAATCTTCGGAATCTATCGACGAATCATCCACTCGAGTCACTGGAGAATGTGCTTGATTTTCAGTCATGTACAGGGCTAAACTTTGTGCTCTGTTTCTATAAGAAGAATTAACAGACATTTGTGGAGTTGTAGTCTCTGCCATGGGATATGTAGATGCCGGAGTGGAGTACCCGCGCTGATAGTCATATTGTCCACAATCAGCGTTATATAGGATGTTGTTTATTTGATGTTCCACAGTCATGTAGGTTTGCTTGGAATAACCCCTAAATTTGCCTGCCAAATAATTAGCGTATAGCTGATACTGGTCTAATCCAGTAGCAGGTGCAGTCGAAGCAGTAGCTACCGCTTTAGCAGCCGAAGCTGATGATGTCAGCAAATCAAATGCCGATTGCAACATTGGGTTCTGGTTCGCGACGTATTTTCTCTTTTTCGGAAGTGGAGCTTTGAATTGCGACTTTGATGAATTTTTTGCATTATCGGTTGTTTTGTCCGATTCAGTGCTCGCGGTGGAACAGGGTTGCTTATCTTGTGACTGATCATGATCTTCACCTATGTCGTCATTTTCGTCATTTACAGATGTATTATCCTTCAAAGTGCGGTCTTGGCCTTCCTGCAAGCAAAATAAAATAATTATAATATATTAGTTTCGGATTCCTACATCGCATCAAGAATGGGAGGAAATTAGTTCCGAGTTTCAAAACTGTTGGAATCTTCCACACGTGGTTGGTGCTATGGACGGGAAACATATCATGTTGCAGGCATCTTTCAATAGCGGATCGGAGTTTTATAATTATAAACAATTTTTTAGTATTTTTATGTTCGCTTTAGTTGATGCTGTTAATATTTGTCGATGTAGGGTGTCAAGGGCGAATTTCCGATGGAGGTGTATTTAATGATTTCATTCTCAAGGAAAAAATTTCAAATAACTCATTAAATCTTCCATCTCCGAAACTATTAGAAGGAACGAATAGCATTATACCATACTATTTTGTAGCAGACAGTGCATTCCCGTTAGGTATCCATATTATGAAGCCATATTCAGGTGTACATCCTAAAGGATCATTAAAAAAAAACATTTAATTATCGATTATCAATAGCTCGACGAGTGGTTGAAAATGCTTTTGGCATTTTAGCTAGTGTTTTTAGAGAACTACGAAAGCCAATGCTACTCCAACCTGAAACGGCACAACTTCTTAATAAAAAGTACTAATTCTGCAACAATTTATGCACCACCAGGTAGTATTGATAGTGAAGTAGAAGGGTCAGTAACAATGGGAAGATGGCGTCTCGAAAATAACGATGTAACTTCATTATTGCCTATCACGAATACCCCACGCAGAGCTTCTTTGTCGGCCCAGGTAATAAGGGATAAAATTGCTGAATATTGCTGTACAGTCGGAAAATTATCATGGTAAGATCATATGAATTAGACTTAAAGGCCGTAGCATATGCCGCCGCGGCAACCACATGGTGTCTCCTAATAAAAAAAAAAGATTTTTTTAAATCAAAATCAAAATAATTAAAGTTAAACGTAATAATGTGGTTGTGCTGAAGATACTCACAGTATTAATTCTCGGGCGAAGCTTGTTTCTGTCCATCAGAAATTGCAAATATTTGAAAGCGAACCAAGAAGACTGGTATACTTCATCAGCTCCTATAATTTAAAATTATGCAATGATTAATACTACAATATAGAAATAAGTATAACTATTCTAATCCCATCACATTCAGAGTAAAGTTTTTAATTTCTGGCTCTTTCTGGTATTAGTGTGTAGTTAAATTAAAAATAATAATAACATTTTTTTATAATGTGTTTATGTTTTGTAATTTCATTTAATATGTATTTTACTTTAATATCCATATAGTAAAAAGCCTAATCTAAGATTAAAGATAAATAAAGAGGAATTATAATAAAATAATAATTATAAAATATCAATTGAGTTTTCACGTACGAGTAGAGTGCGTGCAAAATATGTAATGCCACTCTGTTCGCCGACCGGGGTGGGGAGGGCGGGCGACTTGTGCGAACTTCACAAACCGGCATAGATTCTGCACGCACTAGCAGTATCTACTTACCTTTTCCTGTTGTGCTGGTTTTAGCGATTTTTGATTTTTCACGGCGAAGGGCAGCCAACAAATAATCCATCTTTTTCTTCAATTCGCCAACTGGACACTCCATTTCGACGGAGAGTTCCAGGCCTCCTGCTTCAGATTCCTGTTGTAATAGCTTTTGTGGCTGGGGTCCCATAATACTTGCTTTCTTTATAGGCCTCGATAAATTTAATAACATTTTCATTATTCCAATTCATTGGTTTTACTTCACGGCAAGGACTGAAAATGACGCGCACGTGCAACCGACCGAGCGTCGCGAGTGACGCGTCCAGACTGACCCACGTCCGTATCTGTATCACCTTTGATGATCGGACAAAAATCGACACGACATGGGACGGGCCGTATCATAACGGCGTATCGAGATCCCGTATCATGATACGTATATCATTACCCATCCACATATGCGATCATGATACGCGTCGACGATACGGATACGGCGATCGGATCGGGCAAATGATACATGTCTGGACCCGGCTTTAGTGATTTTCAATGGACTTTCGCCATAGTTATTAAGTTCGTATATTTATATATACACACATCAAAAGTGTCTAGGGATCAACATATATTTTTGCAATAACTTTTCTCCTGATTGATATTAATTAAAATTTTCTTTAAGGATTCATCAAATAAAGTGTTTTCGTTTGTCACAGTAACGATAAACCAAGTCACCTTTGCATTAATAAAGAAATTTGCCATTTTCCTAATAAAGGGATTTTTGACATTTGAACCACTAACACAAAAGTTCGAAAAAAAGACTGAAATAACAGTTTTCTCTAAAATTTTATTGGGTAACTTAAACAATTAATAATCCGTATTTCTACCGCGAACACTAACAACACAAGAACATCGGTTTGGCATACTCAAAATGAGTTCATCCAAATCACGCTGTGGAATGGCCGCCCATGTTCGTTGCAACTACAAAAAAAGGTCTTCTTGCGACTGGATACCCTCCATATTCGGCAGAGCTCTTCTCTGTAGCATATCCCATGCATGCTCAATCGGGTTCAAGTCTGGCGACTGAGCAGGCCAGGGCAGGACATTGATGTTAGCTGCGGCGAGAGTCTGTCTTACAACTCTTGCGGTGTGCGGTCGTGCATTATCATGCATTAACTGAAATAAGGGACCGATTTGCACTTGTAGAGGAACGATGACGTCTGATACAATCGTCTCAGCATAAATTTGAGCGTTGAGGTTGCCTCTGATCCAAATCAACTCAGTTCTTCCGCCGATCCAAATACCCGCCCATACCATGATGGTTCCACCACTATAAGGATGGACTTCCTGGCAGGATTTTAATCGCTGTTGGCGTCCAGGGGTTCTCCAGTGTCGTATACGTCTTGTATCCGGTCTCATACCAAAACGAGACTCATCAGAAAAGCACACGAAACGCCATTGTTCTTCTGCCCAATTTCTGTGTTCAAGAGCCCATTGATATCGAATCCTACGATTGTGCATTGCTATAGGTGGTACCCGTAGCGGTCTTCGGGAATGAAGGTTCACTTCATGCAAGCGGTTTCTGACTGTTTGGTCGCTAATTAAGTTCCCTGAAGAGTGATGAAGCCTCACGGCTAACATCATGGCGGTTATTGTTGGAGCTCTTCGAGTTAAGATTTGAATGTATCGGTCTTGTCTCCGTGTGGTGCAGCGATACCGTCCTCCATGGCGCTCAGCCACGGTACCAGTGCTTCAGTATCGTGTCCAAAGTCGACTGATAACACTCTGACTTGTATTCAGAGCTAAAGCCACAGTACGTTGCCGGGAACCAGCTTCTATCATTCCCACGGCTCTGAGCATTTCTTCCCTGCTTAAATGACGTCGCCGCTCCATAATAACGTTGGTTTTAATCAGTAGTAGGGAAACAGTAGCACTAATAATGTCTTCAATGCGTTGTATGTTTTTATAGGGAAAATATTGACAGCTGATTTTCATCTTTTACTCGAATTTGATTCACAGTTCCTGATTCAAATTATGAAATGCACCAAAAAGGATCCATATAAATTTATAAAATCATAAATTTATTACAAAGCCACATCTCAATCTCAAGAAATCCGCATAAAAATGCTTGATCCCTAGACACTTTTGATGTGTGTATATTCATCTTGCCGCTCAGGATACATTGAAAACCGTTTATAATTTTCTCTAACCAAATACTCGATATTTCTTGGCATATATTTACTGAGTATTTTCGGTTACATGGGTACAGATAACTGCAAGGAGTAGCATACATATTGTATCAGTATCAGATATTCAATACCATATTCTCTTTTTACGATAAAGAGAATATGGTATTGTAACGTCCTTAACGTTATAACCTCCTTGTTTAGGTAAACTCTTTTGTTCTTAGACGATTCGCGATCCATGTGTCACCTCTTTCAATACTCATTTCTATTAGTTTCTTAATGCGTACGCTCTCCTTGCTTTTTTTCACATTCACTCAATTTTCTCGATGCAAAACATATCGGAAACATTTTTTCTTTTCCTTGCATAAGGCATGCGCCTAATGCTGCGTCACTCGCGTCAACGTATAATCTCGTTGTTATATTTTTCGAGTTGTCAAAATGTTTTAATAAAGGAGGTTGTTGTATCAAAAATATTATTTTCTCGAATGCTTTTTGTTGTCTGTCTGTCCATTCGAATTTGATATTTTTTCGTAATAATTCAGTCAAAGGTATGGTCAACATGGCAAAATTATCGATAAATTTTCGGTAATAAGAAAATAAACCCAACACAGATTTTATTTCTTTTGTATTCGTCGGAACTTTAACAAATTTTAATTTATTCAACTTATTTTCATCCGGAAGAATTCCGACTCCGGAGATTGTGTGTCCCAACACGGTGATCTTGGTGAAACCGAACTTGCACTTGGACGGCTTCAACGTCAAATTCGCTTCTCTTAGTCTTGTTAATACTTGATCCAGAGCATTATAGAATTCTTGCCACGTTTTCCCAAAGACGATAATATTGTCGACGTACACAACGGCACATTTATATTTTAATCCTGCAAGTACTTTATCCATGGTTCTTTGAAAAATAGCACCGCTAGTCTTTAAACCAAATGGTAATACATTAAATTCATATAATCCTGACGGAGTAACGAAGGCAGTCTTACATTTATCAGCTTCTTTAATCTTTAATTGCCAATATCCGGAATTTAGGTCCAGGTCTGCAAAAAATTTGGCTCCATTCAGGTGCGCAATCAAGTCTTCTATTATCGGTAAAGGATAAGAATCTGTTTTTACTTTTTTGTTGAGTTTTCGGAAATCGACGCAGAATCGCCAAGTATCGTCGGGTTTCTTCACTAGTACGACTGGAGATGCATAGGGACTTCTGGATTCTCGTATAATTCCGTTTTCCAACATTTCAGAGACTTGTTCCCTTATAATGTTGTGTTGTTCGTTGGACACCCTATAAGGTGCCTTATGAACGGGAATATCATCAGTGGTATCGATTTTCACTTCAATAATATCACACTTTCCTAACTCGTTTTTTTCAAATGCAAAACACGACCTATGTTTTAACAACAAATTTTGTAAATTATAATAATCATTTTTTTGTAACTCGCGGGCGATATTAAATTCCACACTATTATCACTTGCAACCACTATACATGATTCTAACATATATTTATCATTTTCTTCGACTTGATTATAAAAATATAGGTAATCACTTTTAGATAAACTTTTGGTATTATATTTCACTATTTCTATCGAATTTTTCATGTTATTTTCGCAGGAATTCGTCAAAAAATTACATATAATATTTTTTACAACTAGTTGGTGTTTATTAAAATCTAATATTACACCATTAGAAAATAAAAAATCTTGTCCCAAAATCATGTCTTGATTAATTTTCTCAACGACATAAAAATCATGAATAAACAACACGTTTTCTATGATAATCTTCAAATTGATTTTCCCCGCGACGACAAGATTTATACCATTTACGGCACGAAGTGAGATATCACATGGCACAATTTGTTGACGAAGTTCTGTCGCAACGCGAGTCGAAATAACCGACAAAGACGCACCGGTGTCGATAAGCGAAATAAACTCTTTATCACGACATAGCACTTTAATAAATGGATTGAACTCACGCGTATATTGCTGGATGTACAAATTTTGAGGCGGCTGTATGTTTCCAGCCGTTAACATCAGTCGCCTTCTGTCGTTTGGGTGTCCTCTATTGATATTTGTTGGGTTTCTGCTCGGCTGCGGCCTGGTCGGCTGCATATTGTTGTTTCTTGGTCTAAAATTATAATTGTGGCGGGGCATTACATGTTCGGGAAGCGGGTTATTAGGAGAATGACGAATCGGACTAGGAAAGTGACTTGGTGAGGTTTGTTGTCGGTCTCCCTGACCAACTTGTGTTCCAGAATGGGATGGCGTTACATGGGATAGTCTAATTGGGAGATTTATTTCTGGCTCGTTGTTTCCCCCTTCGTATATTTCTTTGGACTGCTTGACCACTTCTTTTAATTGTTGCTTGTTTATATATATTTGTGATCCCAAGCGCCCCTTGGTTTGGTAATTTGCCGACTTCAAAAATTGTTGAATAAAACATTTGTCGTCAATGATATTTCCTGCTTTGGAGGCTAAATGATCTAAGTCGTAAAAATAAGTTAGTGGGTCCTCTGTTGTGCCTTGGCGTCGTGTGAAGAATTTTGCAATATTATTTGTAGATGATGGAAATTCATCACAAATTTTCTTTTCTAGAATCTGAAAATTCTCACAAGACTCGTTAATTTTTTTATAGAACAACAATGCAGGTCCACTCAAATATGCCGACAACACAACTCTTTTTGTATCCTCGTTGAAATTATTGATAGCGGCGATGATATTAAATTGACGAAAGAAATCGGTTACATCACCTTTTCCGTCGAATGTGGTCCTGGTCTCCATCTTCATAAAACTACTTCTTTCTTGATTTAAAATTATTTTTCACTCGCGGTACTTGAAGCTAACGCGGCGCGTCCACCATATAGAGTTCTACCCAGAATGGATAGAACCTGGGGACGTGCTTATTAATTAAACGATACTGGTAGAGATAAATTATTTATTTCTTTTTATCATTCAGGCGAATATAAAGAAATTTTATCTAAATACGAGAGGAAGTTCTTGGTGCCTGAAGATCTAATCTAGAATGGAACCTTCTATCAAAAGACAGACGATTCCTTATTTC